GAAACCTTTGTCTGATTTGTGAAACATTAATAAAGTTTGTTTTTCATCGTTTTTATGCAACTGGACCACACTAGACCTGCCAAAATGGCATTTATCATGCGTCAGATTTCCATCAGAATCAAACTAATTTTATTGATTTTTCACAAATCAGACAAAGGTTTCCCAAAGCTCAAACTTAGTTTTACCTATTCCACTATTAGTGTAGAATAATCTAGTCCTGGTTTGAAAAGTCTAGGTGTTGTGGTTTTTGAGCTGGACCAGGTCTAGTGTGGTCCAGTTGCCTATAAAACGATGAAAAACAAACTTGATTGATTTTTCACAAATCAGACAAAGGTTTCCCAAAGCTCAAACTTAACTTCAGCTTCGTCTTGTAAAGTGATATAAAGATTAAATATTATTAATCGTTAGGGACACAAAATGTCCAGTTTGACGTCACGAATTTGAATAAATTTAACATTCCTAAAATATTCTTAATTTGTCATAAAATGTCGGTAATTCTCTCCTTTTTTGCCCTCAGTGAGTTCTCATTTGGGTTTATTAGTTGAAAAGTTTCTTATGTTTGTAACTCACTAGCAATAACTAATAACAACTAGCAAATCCACTGTAAAAACAAATTAAAACTAACTGAATTAAAAGATAAGTCACAATGAAATAAAACTAAACTATTGTGAAAAATCTAAAACTATCACAACCTTGCTCACTAGTCGGAGTTGAGCCGTCCTTATCGACTCTCTGCTCATTAATTAGTTCAAACAGTTTTATAGTTCACCACCAGCAGGCTCCACCCACATAGAGGCTTATATCGTTAATGGTCCAAGATGCTCAGCTCTGGTTTTCCTGGACTTTTTTCAGGACTGAAAGAGACGCGACAAACTGGTCGTCAGATAAACTGAAGGCTCTGCTGCTGGGGCTGAGCGTGGAGAACGAAGAGGGCAGGTGTGAGGTGACCGAGGTCGACAAGGTGGAAGGAGAGGCGTCCATTAACAACCGCAAAGGGAAACTTATTTTCTTTTATGAGTGGAACCTGAAAGCTACTTGGAYCGGTGAGAAAACCTGTTTTACTTGGTCAAAAATGACATTTTGTAGCTGGTTTTGTTCTCCTGACTGGTAGAAATATGATTATATCATCCTTACACATACTCTTATTACATATTTTATAGATATTTACTGATTTAAGGTCTCTTCAATGGGAACACAGTTTATACTAATTATTCATGCTGTTGTTTTTAGACTCCAAAGTGTTCACGTTTAATTTCTTTGTGCTATCAGTGCTTYGGCTGATGTATTTTATGACAATGTTGACATGTTTTAAATTGTCCTGATGCATCTCAGTAATCCAGGTAAAAAAATCAAAAAGAAAAAAAATTGTATAGGTCT